CTCTGAAGAAGGTTCCAGACCCGAAACGTCAGCTTTCCTACTCCTCTGATGCTGCCAGGCCTGCTGTGTTCATCCAGCTCCACACCTTGTTATCATTATCAATGAGATTCTGTTTGCCAGCATTCGTCACTCTCCTCTATACGTGTTGACCTTTCCCTCGAATTGGTATTCTTGCAAATTGTCCTGTTGAGTGCTTGACAAGAAGCCTTTGACAAAGTGTATTTTTTTCCAGTGGCACTCAAAGGACTATTTTCCTTCAACTAGTCTTATGTCTGTTTTAATATTTCTAATATAATCTTTGCTGTCCTGACGTCCCTTTTCTACAAATTTCTGTTTGTTGCTTTCATTTTCTTTGTTCTCCTTAGCTATTTGAGCTCTTGGCTATTTTTGTTGTTTTGTCCTGTCATTGGCCCTTCCTGTCTATTATCTGTGTCCATAACACAGCAGGATTGTTCCAGCCTTCCCTGTACCTTTTTCCCTGGTGACCTGATGAAGGAGCAGCGCTCCAAAACTCATGAAAAGTACATTGATTTGGCAATTTTGTGGCCATTACAGAAACTTGGGTAACTCGGGGACAGGAATGGTTGTTGGAAATTCCGGAATTTAGATGCTTTAAAAGAAATAGGGAGGGTGGAAAAAGAGGCGGGAGAGTGGCATTGCTAGTCAGGGCTAGTACAGCAGCTACTGAAAGGCAGTTTGAGAATGATATCTCTACAGAGTCAGATTGGGTTGAGGTCAGGAACAAGAAGGGAGCAGTCACCTTGTTGGGGGTTTTTTACAGACCCCCTAATAGTTGCAGAGAAGTGGAGGAGAGGATTGGGAGGCAGATACCGGAAAGGTGCAGAAGTCACAGGGTTGTTGTCATGGGTGACTTCAACTTTCCAAATATTGATTGGAAACATTTTAGTTATAATAGTTTAGAAGGAGCGGATTTTGTCCAGTGTGTTCAGGAAGAATTACTGACACAGTATGTAGATAGACCAACACGAGGTGAGGCCACTTTGGATTTGGTGCTTGGCAATGAACCGAGCCAAGTGTTAGACCTGTTAGTAGGAGAGCATTTTGGCGGTAGCGATCATAACTCTGTTGCTTTTACAATAGTCATGGAAAAGGACAGGTACATACAACAGGGTAAGGTTTATAATTGGGGGAAGGGTAATTACAATTCTGTTAGGCAAGAACTGGGTAACATAAAATGAGAACAGATGCTGTCAGGGAAGAGCACTATAGAAATGTGGAGATTGTTTAAGGAATGCATATTGCGTGTGCTCGATATGTTTGTCCCTAGATGGCAGGGAAGATACGGTTGACTGAGGGAGCCTTGCTTCTCAAGAGCGGTTGAACGACTGGTTAAGAGGAAGAAGGATGCTTATATAAGGTTTAGGAAACCAGGATCGTAAAAGGCTCTCAAGGGATACAAGTTATCCAGGAAAGAGCTGAAGAAAGGGCTGAGGAGAGCAATAAAGGGGGCATGAGAGAACCTTGGCAGATAGGATCAAGGAAAACTCCAAGGCTTTTCACACTTGCGTGAGGAATAAGAGAATGACCAGAGAAAGAGTAGAGCCGATCAAGGATTGTAAAGGGAATTTGTGCACAGAGCCTAAAGAGATAGGAGAGGTCCTTAATGAATACTTTGGTATTCACAAATGGGAGGGATCTATCTGTAGAGGAGGTCAGTGTGAAACAGGCTGGTAGGCTAGAGGAGGTCGATGTTAGTAAGGAAGATATACTAGGAATTTTGAGGAACTTGAAGATTGATAAGTCCCCCGGCCTGATGGGATTTATCCAAGGATTCTATGGGAAGCAAGGGAAGAGATCGCAGGGCCTTTGGCGGATGATCTTTTCGTCCCCACTGTCCACGGGTATAGTGCCGGAAGATTGGGAGAGAGGCAAACGTCATTGCCTTTTTCAAAGGAGGGAATAGGGATAACCCTGGAAATTACAGGCCAGTTAGTCTTATGTCAGTGGTGGGCAAATTATTGGTAAGGGCTCTGAGAGATAGGATTTATGATCACTTGGATAGGCACAGTTTGATTCATGATAGTCAGCATGGATTTGAGAGGGGTAGATCATGCCTCACAAACCTTATTGAATTCTTTGAAGAGGTGACCAAACACGTGGATGAAGGTAAAGCAGTGGATGTGGTATACATGGATTTAAGTAAGGCATTTGATAAGGTTCCCCATGGTAGGCTCACACAGAAGGTAAGGAGGCATGGGATAGGGGAAATGTGGCAGATTGGATTCAGAATTGGCTGACCCTTAGAAGACAAAGAGTGGTAGTGGACGGAAAATATTCAACATGGTGCTCAGTTACGAGTGGTGTACCACAAGGATCTGTTCTGGGTCCTCTTCTATTTGTGATTTTTGTAAATGATTTGGATGAAGGAGTGAAAGGGTGGATTAGCAAGTTCGCAGACGATGCGAAAGTGGGTAGCATTGTGGACAGTGCGGAGGGCTGTTCTCGGTTACAAAGGGACATTGATAGAATGCAGAGCTGGGCTGAGAAGTGGCAGATGGAGTTTCACCCTGAAAAGTGTGAGGTGATTCATTTTGGAAGGACAAACTTGAAAGCAGAATAAGGGTTAACGGAAAGGTTCTTGGCAGTGTGGAGGAGCAGAGGGATCTTGGGGTTCATGTCCACAGTTCCCTGAAAGCTGCCATCCGGGTGGATAGAGTTGTTAAGAAGGCGTATGATGTGTTAGCTTTCATTAATAGAGGGATTGAGTTCCAGAGCCGTGAAGTTATGCTCCAGCAATACAAAAGCCTGGTTTAGCCACATCTGGAGTATTATGTCCGGTTCTGGTCACCTCGTTGCAGGAAAGATGTGGAAGCGTTGGAAAAGGTGCAGAGGAGATTTACCAGGATGTTGCGTGGAATGGAGGGAAGGTCTTAAGAGGAAAGGTTGAGAGAGCTAGGGCTTTTCTCTTTAGAGCGACAAAGGATGAGAGGTGACTTGATAGAGGTGTACAAAATGATCAGAGGTATAGACAGAGTAGACAGCCAGAGACTTTTTCCGAGGGTAGAGGTAGCTATTACGAGGGGGCATAGTTTTAAAGTGAGTGGAGGTAGATATGGGGGAGACATCAGAGGTCGGTTCTTTACTCAGAGTGGTCAGGGCATGGAATGCATTGCCGGAGGGGGTAGTGGAGTCGGCCTCATTAGGAGCATTTAAGTGGTTATTAGATAGGCATATGGATGATTGTATAACGTAGGGATGGAGGTTAGATAGACCTTTGGATGAGGGTAAAGTTTCGGCACAACATCGTAGGCTGAAGGGCCTGTACTGTTCTATGTTCTATGTCTATGTTCTATTTCAAATAAACCTGTCGGATTATAACCCAGTGGCGTGTGACTTTTGACCTTGCTCAACCCAGTGGCTACCATTTTTCCTAGATAGCCGTCTTTACTAGGAGTAGGCTGTTTTGTGATGGAAGTGGAAGCTAATAGGTCAGGGGAGAGGGACAGTGAGGTTATATTGAATTGTAATTGAATTTCAGAGAGGTGGTGGTGTTGTGGTAATACAGATCAAAGTTGATAGGGCTTTTAGAACGTTCACTGGGCCAGTATTTTGGGGAAAACAAGGTGTCGAGCTGGATGATCAGAGCAGGCCAAGCAGCATCAGAGGAGCAGGAAATCTGACGTTTTGGGCCTGGACCCTTCTTCTTTCCTGCTCCTCTGATGTTGCTTGGCCTGCTGTGTTCGTCCAGCTCTACACCTTGTTATCTTAGACTTGTAAATGATTCCTTTGAGAGCTGTGTCACAATTTTTTTTTCCCCTGTAAGACTATACATGTACAGCAAACTTTGTTTGAACCAACACCTTATTAACTATCACTCTTCATAAACTGGCAAAAATTATGTACCACAAACACCTGATCTACTGTGATGTCCAAGTGTTTATGCTGTAAATAAAGTACAGCAGTGATGTCTCTACCCACTGCATTACATTTCTGTGACTAACAATGTGTTTTTACGTTGATTTTAGGAGGTGTGTTTGTGTTTTTGCAAAGATTTTTGAGGAATGTTGATGTCTCAAGGATTTGCTTGGTCAGAGTTCACTGTGGTTATACCTATCTCTTGATAAGCCAGAATATTGGATCAACTCGTCCCAAAGTTGCCAGTTAATGAAAAATTTCCTGTACTAAAGTATAGATTTCCAGTTTATCTTGAGATGTTAACACTTAAGAAATATGTAGTTCTGTCTAGTTTTCCAATTTTGGTAACTCAGCCTTGGAAAAATCAATGTAATAAATCCCTGCAATAGACTGCAGGTATTCTTAATATTCTAATGGTTACCTGGTCAAGATGGTGGTGAAGTGTGATTCGTAGATGGTGAGAGTTTGAGATGGCTACTGTAGGAGTGGGATCTCAACTGAACCAGTGAAGTTTCCAGCTGGTCACTGTGATTTATGGTCAACAAGACCTCAATGAACCAGGTGCTGATGTAGAGAAATGGACATTGGAATCTTCTTAAATTGACTTAGTTCCATTTTTAGTTCCACCTGTCCGTCAGAAGTAATTTCAAAGGAAGAGCACCAGTTTTGTAGCTGTTAACCTCTCCACATTTAATGTCTTGCCCAAATCTTGTGTTTTTGCTTTTGTTGTGGATCTGGGATTGAAGTTAATAATGACTTATTGGTGTGATTTCAGGTAAATGGTGTAGATCTAACTGGAAAAGTCCAAGAGGAAGTGGTGACGCTGCTGAGGAACACCAAGATGGGTGGTACTGTCAGTCTGTTGGTCCTCCGGCAGGAAGAAACCTTCCTCCCTCGGGAGCTGGTGCGTAGAACACCTGGCAAATTGGAGATACACTTGAATAACTAGAAACCGTTTGTCTGTCGTGTAATTTTTCATGGCATCCATCTTTAACCATATGATGAGGTGGGACGGTTTATGGTTGGTGTCTCATTCCTTTTGTTGCCATTTTACAATTTCATGATCTTCCCTCCGTCGCAGTTTTAAAGTCTTTAAACAAGGCTAAAGCATATCAGAATTCATATTTTATCCCATGTTTTCATCATTGTAACAGGCTGCAAGGGTTTGATCAAAACTTCCTTCATGACTAATTACTGAGGATGTAAAACTTTTTGGTTCAGGTGACAAATTATATATCTCCACACTTTTTAATACAAGTAAGCGATTTTTTTGTGACAGGCAGAATTTGTTATAATGGGGTTGAATTTACATTTGTACAGTTGACCTATTGCCAATGTTGTGGTAATCGACTACTTAACTGTAGTTCAAGTAGCCACATATATATCGCAGAATTCATAATTGTTGTCGTGGTAACTATTTTGGAAAGCAACCGAGTTTTCAATTTTGTTTTCAGTTCTGCTATTAAAAAGAAAGTGCTGTGCTTACTGATTTTAAAGCTAAATTAATAATGTAAGAACAACAACGATACATTGAGTTAAAAGCACAAGTAGAACATACATATTTTGTTTAGAAATGAACTTGAAATTATTGTGAATACCTCAGCTGTATTTACTTCCTAGGCTTTATAAGTGATGTGAAAGTGCATACATGCAAAATAATGGAAATCCAAGTGTGTTTCTACACTGGACCAGTTCTTGTACACTAATACGAACAGAAATGCATGAGCAATTTTATTTCAAAAGGTCCAGTCCTCGTGGTTGTCTTCTTCATACTTGGCAGAATATACTCCTTGTTTCATTGTACTGCAGGATTAGCGGGGGTGGAGGTGACGTGAGGGGGTGAGGGAATTGTAATATTTTTGTATCTCCCACCTCTGGTTTGCTGACTGTGCTGTCTTCCTTTGGCTGGAATGAAATAGTCTGAGCCAAAGATTTGTGTTTGCCATTTTTTGTACTGGTGGATGAAAGATATGCTTTTCAGAACAATATATACCCCCTGCCAATAATTACTCCCCCTGAGATGCAGCATGCTGCTATTGTGAGCCACTCCATCCAGCAGCACAGCTGAGAACTACTGAAACCTCCCTATGGGATCCTCAATCATGAGTCCCAACCATAGCTGGGATTTGAATCTGTTTCGTTCACATGGATGTCCAGTGCTGGAGTTCCACAGCTGTTGTACTGAGCTGCGTTCTTCATTGAATTATTTTGTATGCTGCGCTGATTTTCATTTTTTAAAAAATTATTTCAATTTGAGAATGTTCTAAAAGCCCTATCAACTTCCATCTGTATTTTAAGCAGCTTACATATTCATTTTACTACCAGGGTAAAAAATAATTAAAGGAATGAATGATAATTCTTAATTTTGCTGTGTCAAATTTAAAAGAATTACTATTTGCAATCACAGACTTGTGACAATTTCTTAATGTGCAAATCGATTTTTTTTTGTTGGACGCAGTGTTTTATATATTAAGTTTGTTAAGTAATACGTAACAAAGTGAAAATAGTCAATTAAAGATTGAAAACAGTACATTATTTTCATATTTTAAATTCATGGGAAGAAGAATGTTGTCTTCAATTTTGGATTGATGCTGAAGGAAGAGAGTGGCATTTGTGAATGAGTAGTTTTGTAAGCAGAACTAGTTTGCCTGAGCAATATTGGAGTCGGAGTCAGTGTCAGATGACCAGAACATGAAAATAATTTAATAATTTCCACAGAAGAAGTAGTTGATGAATTGAAAGCTGTTGGGAAATGTTGAAAGTATTTTGCTTTCAACTTTTATACAGATGCATTTCTTTGAAATCAAACTCCAATTCCAGGTCTGGATTACCACAGCAAGTTATACAGCCAATTTAAGGCAAATGCATGATATTTTACTTTGTTTTGAGTTGAATTACAACTTCTTATTAAAGTCATTGACTCCTTTTGAAAATGATTGGCAGATTCTCAAACCTTGATAGCAATTCTAATGTCTACTCAGTGCCTATTAGAGACCATTGCACTTCATGTGCCATAAAGTCATTCAGCATGGAAACAGATCCTTCTGCCCAATTCGTCCATGCCAACGAGGTTCCTTAAACTGAATTGGCCCTGTTTGCCTGCATTTGGCCCATATTCCTCTAAATCTTTCCTATCTATGAATGTGTCCAAATGTCTTTTAAATGTTGTAATTGTACTTGCCTTTACCACTTCCTCTGGCAGCTCGTTCCATACATGCATCTCTATCAGTGTGAAAAAGTTGCCCTCCGATCTCTTTTAAATCTATCCACTCTCACCTTAAACCTATGCCCTCTAGTTTTGGACTCCCGTACCCTAGGGAAAAGACCTTGGCTATTCACTATCTATGCCTCTCATCATTTTATAAAATTTTATAAAGCCACCCCTCAGCCTCCTACACTCCAGGGGCAAAATCTCAGCCTACCTGGCCACTCCTGATAATTCAAACCCTCCAGTCTCGGTAACACCCTTGAAAACCATTTTTGCACCCTTTTCAGTTTAATATTATCTTTCATATAGCAGGGTGACCAAACTGATGCAGTACTCTATATGTAGCCTTAACCAATGTCTTGTACAGCTGTAATTTGATGTCCCAATTCCAAGTATTCAGTGCTCTGACCAATGAAGGCAAGCATGCCATACGCCTTCTTCACCACCCTGCCGACCTGTGACGCCACTTTCAAGAAACTTTATGCCTTCAACAACTTGCTCACCCATCTGTGGTTCCCTGGCTTTTCCATGCAGCCTTTCTTAAATAATGACACAACATTAGCCACCCTCCAGTCTTCTGGCACCTCACCTGTGGCTGACGATGATACAAATATCTCTGCTAGGGTCCCTGCAATTTCTTCCCTAGGTTGCTACAATGTCCTGGGAGACACTTGATCAGGTCCTCAGTATTGTTTCCCTTTGTGTTTTAAGGCCTTCAGGACCACCTGTTCTGTAAAATGGACTGTTTTCAATACATGACTATTTGTTGGTACCATTGTGTACAACATCCTCTGGCTGCTCACGCTCCCCTTTGAGAATTTGCAGCAACCACTCTGAGATATCCTTGACCCTGGCACCAGGGAGGCAGCACACAATCCTGAAATCTCACTTGTGGCTGCAGAAACGCCTGTCTGTGTCCCTGACTGGAGACTCCCCTATCACAATTGCTTGCTGGGACTTTGCCTCTGCTGTGATGCAATTGTGATGCCAAAGACCTGGCTGCTGCTGCTATTTTTGCATGAGAGGCTATCTCCCCTCACAGTATCTAAAATAGTGCACTTGTCTGAGAGGGGGAAAGCCACAGGATACTCTTGCATTACCTGTCTACATCTTCTGACTGTTACCCATCTACCTGACTGAATCTGTGGTGTGACCACCTCCTTGAAGCTACTATCTATTACACTCTCTACTTCCTGTATGCTTCTGAGCATCCAACTGCTGCTCCAACTGATCCATGTGGTCTGAGAGGAGCTGCAGATGGACACCATTCCTGCAGATATAGTCATCAGGGATAGTTGACTGTTCCCTGACCTCCCACATTTGACAGGAAGACCGTACCACTCCACTGACTGCCATCTCTGCCCCTTTAACAACAAGCGACTTAAGGAGAATAAAAAGGTCTGACGCTTTCCTTATTGCTGTTCGCCCTCCTCAACAAAACCTGGTGTTCACGTAGGCCCTCTATTAGATCTAACCAGTAACACCTCGACCACAAAGCAGCCCCTTGCAAAAATGGCAGGATTAAGACCGCAATGCTTCCCTCTCTGTTTCCCTCACTTGCCTAAACTCTCACACTTAGCTCAAATCCCAGCAGTTGCATGCTCTCGCTGGCCACACTCTGTTTAAAAAGAAGGAAGGGCTTTAAAATTCAGAAGCTTCTTGGAACTTTACTACCCATCATAGTAATTGGTCTCAGATTATGTGTAAGATGCCTGTGATAAGTTTGAAACATGAGTTGCCTCTGTCACTGTTGTTCATCTGTGTAGTACACATGCCAATGCCTTTTATGCCATGTAGTTTTATTCTTTGTTATCTCTACTTCTAGAAAAAAGAATCAAGTCAGATGCAGGCATCAAGTGAATTGGTAAGAGTTCTGTGTTCTAAGTCGCACATTAACCTCAGAAAGTAATGGTGATGGGCAGTTTGTATTTCTTACAGTTCTGAGCACTATACCAGGAATTGGAATGCTTTACTAAGTTGTTGCATCAGTTTATCTTTCCTGGCTTAAAAATGTGTTGTTCCATCCAGTATTTCATTGCAGAAGTCTATCAAATCACACACACAGCTAAATAAAAACATTATCAATAGAAGCATGAGATTGAGAGTACATTTGCCCAGAAAAACATTTTTTTCGACAGCAGCTACAGGCCGCAGTGGTACTTGTATGTAAATTAGGCATTACTGTATATTTTGTATGTTTTGTAGGGGGCAGCTGGTCTCTCTTCTGAACAAGACCTGTTCTATTTCCAGTCCTTTGATATTGAACATTTCTGTACCATCTGGAATGTATTATATACATGAAGTGTATGAAGGTTATTTAGTAAAGCAGAGTGCAGCAGTATGTGTGGTAGATGCTGACCTATGTGGTTCAACAAGAATGCAATTAAGGTGTTAAAAATTGTCTGCTTTGTGTATGATAGCATCTTTAGTTGAAAATGGCTTGCTATGGTAATTACCTTTAGGTGCTTAATTTGCAAATAGCTTTTAATTATTTTTTCCCCAACATACAGAATAGAACTTTGGTGAGATTACAGCTAGAGTACTGTGTGCAGTTCTGGTCACCACATTGATGTGGTGAAAGATGTTACTGGAGGGTGTGCAAAGGAGATTCATCACGATGCTGCCTGGGATGGAAAATTTAATTTGAGGAATGGTTGGATACAGTTGGGTTGTTTTCATTGGAGCAGAGAAGATCGAGGGGCAATCTGATTGAGGTGACAAGATTATGAGAGGTGTGGGCAGAGTGGAGAAGGAGCAGCTGTTCCCCTGAGTTAAAGGGTCAGTCACAAGGGGACATGGGTTCAAGGTGGGAGAATGTGAGGAAAAGCTTTTTTACTCAGAGGATGGTGATGGTTGGGAATGTGCTGCCTGGGAGTGTGGAAGAGGCGCATTGCTCACATCCTTTAAAAGGCACCTGGATGAGCACGTGTCTATCATAGCAATCAAGGCTATGGACCAAATGCTGGTAAATGGGATGAGTTTGAAGGTCAGGTGTTTCTCACATGTCGGTGTAGACTCAATGGGCCAAATGACCTCTTCTGCATTATACGATTCTATACAGTAGAACAAATAGGACAAGAGTAAGTGAAGAATGGCAAAAATAATTATTAGTTGAGCATGTTTCCTTCTATTCTGCCCCTCACTCCCTGCCCCCAAACTACCACCCTACAGTGCCTCTAGTGGATCACCATCTGAATGAAATGTTCAGTCATTCAGATGGATAGATATGTCAGAAATGTTTAGAAAACTGTTGACTGGCTCTGAATATTCGCTGAATTGGGAAACGTATTCAAAGGAGCCATAGTTTGATCTGCTGCTATTCTTATAAATGTTATCTTGTTTAAAATGAAAACTGTGCCATACGAAACTATGAAAATTGATGGAGATGTTCTGCCACTAAAATTCAAAACATTTTTTTAAATAAGAAGCTGGAAGACCACTTTGCTTTTTAAGGGAAGGTGATCATCATTGTGTTTAAGTCAGATACAAAGGAATAACTTACTTAATTTCATGGAAATAACTAAAATAATTGACATTTAATAATGGCCAGTTGAACTACTTATCATTTTTTCATTACCTGGAAATACTTGTGGTGAATAGGATGCGTCAACTCTGGGGTGCAAATTGCTATATTGAGTGAAATTGAGAGATTATCAATACTTCCCCAGAATCATTACTTTGAAATTACTGCAGGTCCCTAAACTAGATGATTGTGCTGAGATAATGTAAATGCAACAAAGGCTATCTATGCTTCTTTCCAACGTTCTGATGATGACTGAAAATTATTTCAAAGTTACAGAAAATCCCAGTTGAACTGCACAGATACTATTGTACTATTGACGGTTGCTGACAGACTTGAGTGACTTAAAAGGTATTGAGAAAAGGTATTATTCTCCTGTGCATTGCTGGCTTGTGGTCGAGAGCATAATTAAGATTTTGAGCTCCTAACCTGCCTGACTTGATTAAAAACAAAACCCTGTTTCTGAAGTTATTCCATGTGAGGAAGCAGCCTCAATAAATTCTGAGGATAATTGCAGGCTAATTGCAATTTGTCAGGGAGGTTTGCAGATGATTGGTTGTAAATCACACTTTCCTCTCCTCTCGGAATTATCACATGATTTACCTCATTGTGAAATGATTGGTAGAGGCATTGTATTAGAGAAATGTAGTTCTTGGGCATATTGTTATTGTTATTCCCTTTGAAATGGGTATTCTTGCAATTCTGTCCTGATGAAAGCCAAGTGAAGGCTTTGGTAATCATTTTCTCAAGAACAAGATGAAAGTAGTTCATCAAGATTTATTTGCGTATTTACCTGTGTCATCTGTTGTGAATCATGTGTACTTACATTGTTTAATATTACACAGTAATCATTTTCACATTTGCTGAAAAGCATCTCTTACTTTCTTGTATTCTTTTATGTATTGTCTCATTTGCTCTATCTTGAGGAACAAACAAAATCTGGTTTAACTCGGTCTTGAAAAATTAGTACATTACAATGTAATGCCACCTTCCTTAATTCATAGTAATATAGTTTAGTGCATTATTGTACTTTAAAATTTCATATCGTCTTTAGCACATTTAGAGTATTTAATTTCTTCCCATTAACTTCATTTAAAAGAAATTGCCAATCACTCTGGAGGCCTTTGCTTAAGTTATCAACATTTTATACATTGGTATTAAGTGCCAAAATTTACATGAGTACATAGGTGACTTTGATTTAAGCATTTTCAGTATACTGATATGATGCTGACACGTTCAAAAATTGTGGAAACCTTCACTCTCATTTATTGCAATCAAATTGTTCTATGGATAGGAGTTCAGTGTTAACTGCTCCAATCAGCAACAAGTACAGAAAAAGGTTATTTCACACCTCAGCACTGTGTTGAATACCTGTTTTCTTTTTTAAAAAAATAGAATTAATATCTTTCAGATCATTTTTGTCCTTTGACTGCTGTGAAGTATTCAAGCCCACAACTATCCATTATACAACTGTTCTCTCCACTTATTCGCGACATAATTGCTTGAAATAATGAATCATTGATAGGAGGACTTAGAAGCAGATTCTTTTGCTTGAATTTGTCACTTAAACCTGAGCCTTAACCCTGTGACCACCGGAATCCCTTACATCATCTTAAAAGAAAATGCAAGCAATTGCTAATTTTCCATCGCTTGTTCCCCTTGATAAACCAGGCCATGTGTAGTGAGTAGGAACAGGCCCTGCATCAAAGACTACTGCCTGAAGGAGCTGCGTATAATGCCCCAGAGAAACCACTCAAATTTTTGCTGGTCCTTTACTCTGCTCAGCAATGAAGATGGTAAAGTATTGTCTCAGAAACCAGCAAAAGAGCTCTCCCTGCTTTTGAAGTCCCCAAGTCATTAAATATTCAAGGTATATGATGGGTTGTTGGGAATCTAAGCCAAGATTCTTCACCCAAGAAATTACCGATATCCTTCAATAAATTAAAACAAAGAACTGGGGATGCTGGAGATCAGAAACGAAAACAGCAAAGATGTTCTAATGAAGAGTCACCAGACTCAAGAAATATCTCTGCTTTCTTCCCACAGATATTGCCAGATCTACTGATATTCTTCATGCTACTTTAGGAGGCACAGATTATAAACCCTGACTAATGCCCCCCCACCACAGAGTCAATTTCCTCTGTTTGCCACTGAGCCATCTTGCTTGAGTTAAATACATTATAGGGCACATGTGCCTTCCAAAAACATGAGTCATTTCATTTGTCCACTTGCTGTTCGCACTCTCGTGCTAAGTTCATGCTGACATACACCTCTTTGCCCCTCTTTCTTTCCATCGCACCTGAATTTATGCAAACACTCCTTTCCACTCTCCTGATCCATACTAACACTTTGTTCCTCTCACTGATTATCTTCTCCTTCCTGGCCAATTCAAATGAACAATCTTCGCTCTTCACTGCAAAAACTCCTCATCTTCACCCCCAGTTCACACTGACACTCTTCTTCCACTTCTCAATACACTGTGCTACTTGCCTGCACTCCTTTCGAATACTAGTCTTCATTTCCTGATGGCATTTGCCTAATTTCATGTTCACACTCATTACACACTGGCAAACATTTCTCTCCCTTATTCCACCTCCCTTCCCCTGGCATCTATTTTAAGTTGGCCCTCAACTATCCCCATTCCAATATACATAATGAGCATGAATGTCTGTATCTCATGAGAATTCTTCACCATAGCATACTGTGAGACTTAAATACCCTAGAGATACATAAATGTTCTTTATTGAAGGAAATCTCTGATCCTTACCTGTGGCCTACATGTGACTCCAGATCCACAGCAGCATGGTTGACTAATAAACCACTCAGTTGGATCAAACCACTACAATGTCTAAAAAGTGATAAAATGGAATGCAACCAGGTAAACCGAGGCACCAGAAATGACAAAAAAGCAAAGAAGTGTGGATGCTAGAAATGAGAAACGGAAACAAAAATTGCTGGAAAAGTTCAGCAGATCTGGCAGAATTCTGTGGAGACAAAGCAGAGTTAACCATTAGCAGCTGTCAATGGGTTGGTTGTGGTAGCAGCTCGTGTGATGACAAGGTCTCGTATGGGTGGGAGGGGGTGCGTTAGATTAAGGATATGGGAGAAAGTGCTCGGGCCATAAAATTTATTGAACTCTGTATTTAGTCCCAAAGGCTGCAGGGTCCCCAAGCGGAAACTAATATATTGTTTTACCAGCTTGCACTGAGCTTTGCTGGAGCACTGCAGCAAGTCTGAGACAGAGATGTTGGCCACAGAATATGGTGGTTAGTTGAAGTAGCAGGCTGTGGAAGCTTATGGTCGGTCTTGTGGATAAAATGTAGGTATTCTGCAAAACGGTTGCC